AACTCGTTTGTTGACGATTCCAAGATATATCTCTGTCATTCTCTGTCAAAGAAGTGTCAGACGCCAAACATAAACTTGAGAGTGACCTTCGCCTTGTAGCCGAATGGTGTTTCAAAAATTCATTATTGATTAATCCCGAGAAAACCAAGTTTCTGTTAGTTGGAACGCGACAGTTACTAAATTCACTATCAGATGATATGTCTTTGAATTTTTTAAATAAGACAATCGTTCCTGTCACTTCCATAAGCGACCTTGGAATAATCCTGGACCGCAACTTGACATATAACGAACATATAACCCAGCTCTCATCAGAGTGCATGGCTATAAATTGTGTCAAATTAATCGTGTCAAACATTGTTTTGATCAAAAGACGCTGATTTACATCATCTGCGCTGTAGTACGTTATGGGTAAATTATATTACTGTTCAACAGTTTGGTCAAATACGAGTTCTTCAAATATTAAGAAACTACAAGCCGTCCAAAATTTTGCGTGCAGAATTATAGCTAATGGGAAACAATTTGATCATATTACACCAATTCTTAAAGATATTGGTTGACTCCCTGTCAAAGAGCACCTGTTGTTCAAAGATTTGGTCATGATTTACAAATGTATAAATAGTCTCGCTCCAACATATCTGTGCGACCTATTTCTTAAACGTAAGGAACTAAACAATCGCGCCACAAGAAACAATGAAGCACTACATATTCCCCTATTTTCAATCACCACAGGACAAAGAAGTTTTCGATATAGAGCTGTTGGGTTATGGAATAGTTTAGACAATGAGTTGAAAAAACTCCATTAGCAACATTTAAAATCAAATTAAAGGAGTTCTTACTAAATCGATATTTTGAAACTTGAATATTTATAGTATATATAAACACTAGTTTAACATGCATGCAAGAATCTTATTCTTATTGAAATTTATTTTATTGCGCTACATTTAAACTTTTTATAAATTCCTTTTGTAATTATTTTTACAAACATTAATTAATCTGTCAAAAGTATCACTTGTAAATAAGTATTGAAAAGCCCTGCGGGGAATACTTCCAATAATAATAATAATAATAATTTGCATGCCTATAATGCACATGCCGCAGTGACTTATATGTATCGATTTCTGTTTGTTTTTCTTTTGGAATTGGATCAAAAAGGTGGTTGCAGGTATTCAGATCCTGGAATGCTGTGAAATGGCCCTGCTGACCTGTTGGGACATTTTATTGGGTGGACATCAAATGGTGTGTGGAGTGAAATGAAATTTCGATTCAATGTGACTGGAATGATGTGGATACTGATGATTCTTGTGAATTATGTTATGATGATGCATGGACTGTGATGATGTTGGTGAAGCTTGAGTTATAATGTAGACAAACAGATAGATAGACTGGTGATATATAAATTGTAAAATGGTATAAGTGATCATGATACAAAAGTCTGAACATTTAAGCTGAATTGATACATGAATAGTAAAACTGCGTTGTGTATGACTTGATTGATAAAAAATGAGATGCTTAAATATACAGTATAAATTTTATGCTCCAGGCCTACGTTAAACGTTTCAACCTGATCCTAAAAGCAGGAATCTTCTTTCTACTCATTTGTTCTTTCAAACTATGTAACCGTTTTTGTAATATTAAACCATTATTTTGTAAATATATATACCATACCCTGTAAATTCATTTAGATTGCTCTGAAGATGTTGTATTGTAAACAACGAAACGTTAGCTAATTAAAATTTTACTTTTTATTATGTTTGGTTTTAAAGTTATTTGCTGGGCTCTGCTCTTTATCTTTAAACTAAGATTTCCGCCTGGTGTATCAATTACTTTAAACTTGTAAATATTAATTGAAACTACTAATTTGTAAATAGCTAGTACCGCCACTTGGTAGATTAGTTAATTGTTAATATTAGTTACTCTGAATGCTTTAGTAATACCTGTAAATAGGTCATGCGAATAAAGCTCTTTTTTAAACATATACATAATACAAACTATTTACATATTAATTATTCTTTAGACAATTAGCAAACTTAAATAAATAACAAACATACAAAACTATTTACATACTTATTGTTTTCGAAATTGTAGCTTCATTAGTCTTTTGAAATAACTCATAGAATTGGATTGTTTTGCAGTAATTGATAAGTTATTCCAAAGAGTTGCTCCACTATAACTGGATGTCTTTTTCTTAAATTGTGATTTTGGGAATGGAAGTACCAGATCTGTTTGAGAATTTCTTAATTGGTGTATAATTGGACAATCACTTATTTTCAAAAAATTTTCTTTCAGGTTTGGAGCAGTTTCATTATTTAAGATTTTGTAAATGAAAATGGATTTCAAGTATTTTCGCCTATTGTCAAGAGTTTGCCACCTTAAAGTTGCAAAAACATCGGCCGACCTAATATCATAAGACGCTCCTGTTATTACTCTTGCAGCTCGGGATTGACATTTTTGTACTTTTTCCTTTAAGACGATTCCACAGGTATCCCACAATTGACAGCAGTAGTCAAAATAGGGTTGTATTAAGGCGTTGTAAACTGTTTGTAAGAATTCCTGAGGAACACAGGTTTTCATTCGTTTAATTACTGCAATGCCTGCATTAACTTTCTTAATAATCATATCAATATGGTGTTCCCAGTTTAATTTTTCGTCTAAAGTGACACCGAGGCATTTATAGCAATTTAATCTTGGGCCAGGAACATTATTAATTAGTATCGGCATTCCTTGAGGTATATTCTTAATTTTATAAGGGATGCAATAAACATACATTTAGATTTCTTAGGATGAATTTGTAGCTTATTATTCTCCATCCATTGCGTAACAACATTTAGGTCATAATTTATGTTGTCAATAAGATCATTTACATTGTGTAATGACGCGTAAATTCCGTGTCATCAGCATAAACATAGAGATTATAAATAACACTAGAGGAGGCATCGAGTTTAAAAATTGGGAACGCAGCTAATGGGGGGCAAATTCAAGTCCCGGATATAAAATCGTGCTCTCATTGGCTGATTTGAAACTCGTCACCAATGGGAACACGAATACACATCCGGGACTTGAATTTGCCCCCCAATAGTCGCGTTCCTTTTTTTTACTGAATTAAGATTACAATGCCTCCTCTAGTGTTATTTATAATCTCTATGAGCATAAAGACCTGGCGTGGTTTTTGACGTTTACGGCAAACGTCAAACCGCTAGCGAAGTTTTTGATTTTACAACAGTCATACTGACACTTTACTTTACTTTACTTGATTTTACAACAGTCATACTGACAGGACTATCAAAAAGGCATCTGCGAAAGTTAAACTGCTATCACGTATCCGACAGAATGTCAGTCCATATGTTGCCGAGAAAATATACAAAGTTATGATTGAACCAACTCTTGGATACTGTGGTAACTTATTTCATGGTATATCAAATACCACTGTAAATCGATTTCAGCAAATTCAAGATCGTGCTGTCAATATCGTATATGGTACTAACGTAACACCTAATCGCTGGTATTCAATACGAAATGTTATAGGAAACTTCACTGCACACAGGAAGTTTTTAAGTGTCTAAATGGCCTAGTGCCTAATCAATTTAATGGCATTTTTAACAAGTTCTCCCACCAGAAAGAAACGAGAGGAAACAACTCAAAGTTGAGACTACCAAAAGTGAAAACAGAAACTGGTCGCAAGATGTTCTCGTTCCAAGGAGCTCTGGTTTTTAACGAACTGCCAGAAGATTTGAGGAATGAGACATCACTTTTACGTTTTAAGCAAAAGTGTAGAAACTTTTTTTATGAAAACTGATTAGTGGATTTTTAAATATTTTTATATAAATGCTGACGCCAAAATTTTTTAGCTAATATATAAGTATAGGATAGACTATCTAATTTAAACAGGTCCTTGAGTGATAGCAGCTAATTTTTTTTAGCTGACCAAGTTTAACTTGTATAAATATGGTATATTATTATTATTATTATTGTAGCTTTTACACCAGTTTTGAAATATGTTAAACTGATTAAACTTCTGCTCTTTAGCAATGATTTAAGAAAGCAAATTAACCACTAGTCATGCCATTCACCAAAGCAGTAAATTAAGATTTGGCGTTTGAAGTTGATGTTTGTCGTATAAATTTCAATTCATGCTTTAAAGCCCTGATTCCACGAGCGCTTTTTGTCAGCGAAATGCGAAATATTTCGCCTGTTTCTTTTGAATTGTGAGCAATCAAGTAGAAATAATTTATTCGAGTGGTCGCAATTCAAAAGAAACAGGCGAAATATTTCGCATTTCAGGCCTTAACGACTACAAACCCTCGTAGCAGATCAAGCATGAAATTTATACGCCAAACGCCAACTTCAAACGTCAAATCTTAATTTACTGCTTTGGTGAATGGCATGACTAGTGGTTAATTTGCTTTCTTAAATCATTGCTAAAGAGCACAAGTTTAATAAATTTAACATATTTCAAAACTAGTGTAAAAGCTATTATAATAGAGTTGTAAAATCAAAAACCTCGCTAGCGGTTTGACGTTTGCCGTAAACGTCAATCTTAAGGTCTCTAATGTGGTAGGTCATTGATGTAGAGCAAAAATAACAACGGCCCCAGGATCGACCCCCTGGGGGACCCCACATTTTAATTTTCCAACGGAGGATAGTATCCCATTTGCTACGCATTGTTGTTCCCTATTCGTTAGGTATGATTCAAACCAGAGTAATTTTGTTTTAATTTATCATCAACATTGGTGAAGGCATCAATTTCATTGTTACGCCAGTCGTTCATCACAATTTCTTTTCCTTGTTAGATTTTAAGTGCAGTTACTAGACTTTGTTTTTCCTCATCTAACAATTTAAGTTTGGTATTGAGATCTGACATTACCATAGTGGTATACTCAATTTTTCCTTTAGTTAAGGTCAGTATTTTCTTTCTTGAGATTTTCATTCTCATGTTTTATATTAGTAATATAGTCATGTGATATCTTTTCATGAAGGTCATCAGCCTCCTTTAAGTTGCATACCTGCAGTGCCACGTCATCAATTTTTGTGTTGAGCTTCTCCTCGATAGTTAATATTCTCTCTAAGATTTGTGCAAAAGCATCCGCCTCACTCAGTTCAGACGAATTTACCTCATTTGCTGTTAGGTTAAGACACTCTTTCTCTATTTCATTAACAGTGTGGCCATCCGTGCCGTCTTCAAAAGTAATTCTTGTGTTCTGGTCAGCTAAATTTTGGGATATTGAGGCCAATGTCATCAGTTGTTCCTCGATTGATCATATGGTGTCCTCGCTGACAGTTATCGCTTTTGAGTTTCCATACCACTTAGTTGCTGTCGCTTGATTTTGGTACAGCTTAGCATCGCCTCCAGGGGAGAGCCATTTCCCGCCCGTTAAGTTCAACGTTTCTTCTACGAAAGCTTGTAGTTCATCAAATGACCCTGTCCATAATATTTTCCCTTTGCTATTAAGACACAAGTTGTGTATAAGACTTCGTCCTTTATTTTCTTGATTCATCATTCATTTCGGCTGATATCGATTTACACGTGAATGTATTCGACGAATCGTCCAATTTTCTCAACCAATCAGTTTTTTTTGTAGGGATTTAGGCTTGTTTAAGGATAAACAAGCTTAATAGCCACTAATTTTAGTAAATTTGAAACAGATCGTAAAGATTGAGCCAATATTTAACACAAAAGTGTTAAAATTTAGCGGAGCTCGAAGTTAGACGTCCATGTTGACTCCGATGCTTCCACACCAATGCTTCCAAGACAATGTTTTATCTGCGACCGTTCAACCTTAGTTGCAAGCGACGGTATTGAATGAGTCCGCCTTTTACAAATCGCAGTCCGCGATTTGTAAAACACGGACTCAGTCCGCGTTTTCCCAGTCCAGTCCGCGTTTTCCCTTCCAGTCCAGTCCAGCTCGGTCCAGTCCAGTCCGTCTTTTACAACATGCCCGTTGGGTTTGCTCACTTTGCTGAATCCCTGACATTATTCAAAGAGCTCGTTAAATGTAAATTTCCACAGTTAAATTAAGAATTCAAACGGTACATTCCCAAAAGCAAATCAATCGTCTCTTTACGAGGATTTATTTCAAGAATCATTCAATGCACACGACTCCTTAGAAGATGTCCTTGCTCTTCGAAAAATTTTGTTTTCATCCAAGCTTGAACTGTCAACAAGGACGATAGTCGATCATTCGCAACTTGTAACAACATACCGCGCTGTCGAGGACATGAAATATCTTGATCGAAAATGATCGTCGCTACCAAAATATGCAAACCTTCAACGAAATCGTGTTTAATCCACGCACACATAACGGCTTTTTAAAGAAGAATATAGCTGAGAAAATTGCAGGTGCTGGTTTGACATACAAGGATCTAAATGAACTAATGAAGTTTATAACAACTACGGCAAAGATGGATTAATTGCAATTCTGTCGAAACCGCCATCGAATTCATCGCTGTCGTCGCCTGCAGTTGTTGATCACTTCACCACTGAAAAAATCAAATCATAGGTATTTATAATATAATCATCATTTTCTTCGAGCGTACAAGTCTTTCAAACCTCTCAACTTGGCAATTTATTTTAACGTCATATTCCAAACGATGTTGATTGCAATTTGCATTTTGAAAGTGGACACGCGTGTTCTCCTTCCCCCCCACCCCCCCGCAAAAAAAAAACACGCGTGACTTCTCGCGCGAAGCCATAAATTAAAAAAATATATATCAGCGAAAACGCAAAAACACAACATTAAGATGTTACTTCCGTTAACCTAAAAACTAATTTTCACGAAATTAAATAGAAGGAATATTTTTTAATGTAATTTTTTTACTTTTTCGTTCATTGCTCGTAAACCTATCGATTAAATTTTTTTAAACTATGGCAAGAGAATAATTGAATCGCTACTATTTGATACGCGAATTTTCAAAAAAGTTTACCGAAGCAAATCTTCAAAATGGCAAGGCCCGGCAAGGAAAAGGGGGAAAATGTACATCTTTAAAGATACTCTGTTTCCATGGTAACAGAGTTTTAGCGCAAAGTCGCGGTTTTAAAATCTTCGAAATAATATAATGCATGTTTGGTGAAAATTTCATGCTCATATCGCGCAAGGTAATGGTTTGGCTGTCGATTTTATGCAGCAATGTAGTGTTAGTAAAAACCCTAGGGAGCCACCTTAAAGCTTTCGTTCTGTTTTATACATTATTACGAGCCGGTCATTATGATTTTATTTGACCGCTCTGGTTCTATTTATACTCGCAACAATGCAAAAGATTGTGAAACCAGTTACTTTCAATTATATATATTTATTTTCTTACGTATATACAGTATATATTTAGCTATATTACTCAACAATTAGCGTCTCTTCAACTTTATGACCTTAGTGTACATTATGTAATAATTCTTAATACTCGTTCAAACTTATCTCTTTTTACGGACCACAACTCTTATAAAACCATGGCAGGACCTTCCCTGCTGCTTCTATCCCAAGCTATTATAAACTTTCGTAAAATTCGTGCTCGTTTGCTATGATTTGTATTAAACTTCAACTTATATTATTTACATTATACATAAAACGCATGCTTTAATGCTTTA